ACACTGTATTTTCAATTTTAATTACTTCAAGTAGTATGTTTAATATTGTTCTGTCTTATCATATATTGGTTCGCCAACGGACGTATTTTTAAAATTGAATCAATAGAATCGATTTTGGCATACTGAAAATTGCGTTGAATAATGATTGCCATTGTCCTCTCTACGTTATAGATATTGGAGAATGTCCTCTAGGAAAATTCTGAAATATTCATTGCGTGTCGGACATTTTGTTTCATCAAATGAATATTTTAAATTTTAAAGCGCTGAATCACATTTTCTTTATAAGGAAAAAAAAAAATATATATATATATATAAAACCTTGTTTAATAAAAGTTGGTTTACAATAGTAAAAAAAGTGCGCTGTGTACCCAGTTCTTATTCGTAAGTGATTTTTCCTAAATGTTCATTTATGTATCGAGTTTTTCTTTTTCCTGTATTGGTTGCTATATTATAAATGCTTTCCTCTTATCGATCCATTCTGGCTTACATTTGGTAATCGTTGCATCTTGGTAAACATGGCGTTACAAACATTCAATTGCCTTTGATTGAATGATGTCGCCAGTAGGAAGCCAATATGGCGAAAGTCCGGTCAAGTAAGAAGAGAAGAAAAAAAAAAAAGTAAAATAAAAAGAAGCGGTTTTATATGGAAGTTGGAAATACAGACTTTATTGTTTTTAGTTGCAATTGCTCTTTTACCAGTGAAAAGACTTTTTTTTCTGGGGAAAAATTAACCGATATGAAACGGACTTTTTTAATATCTCATACAAAATATAAGATATAAAGTAAACGACTTACTCCCCCTCCGCGATAACATCGATTCGTTGTTTCATTTCCTTTCAGAAATCCATCTAATCATTGATGGAGTATTGTGGCCAGTTGTAATAGGTTAAGATGACTCGAGTTGATATTTTTGTTGTAAAATTTCTCTTGCAGAAATTTATTATTTAAAGTTTTAATAAAGTAAGACATGTTATTTTCCTTCTTTTTAAAAAAGCATTTCTTTGGGAAATTTTATTCAGACACAAACCATACTAATTCTATTATCCAGTATGATTATACAGGAAGCAGTTTTTCATGTAGTGTTTTTTTCCCTGGTTCTTTTCCGCTTTGAAGATTTCTGTCGGTGTTCCATCTTAAAGTGAAGGCAGGGCTATTGTGCATCAATTAATCGCTGCCTTTCTTGTATTCTTCAACCCAGTCATGTTGTCTGACCACCTGGTGTTGCCAGATGGTCAGGAGGGTTGACCAGCAGGTGACGTTCTTTTTTTATCATCACAGTCAATATTTGATAGTAACATTGTTTGCACTTCTCACATATATATATATATATATACACATATAAATTTTTTTGCGATTATTATTATTATTCCATATTGAAAAGTTTAAGCTCTCAGATAACGACTAATGTTCTCACTCAATTAATTAAATCTGTATATCGCTATATTTACATGCAAATAACATTTTGATTGATTCCATATATCTCAGTGCAATGCACGGTGGGTTCTAGTCAATATTGCTATGGTAACGTCAAAATCCATTTTATAGTAAGTTTCGTGTATATAAATAATAATTGAATGTAATTTTTATCTGTGTATAGATCACTTTTTTGTTGGACTTTCGCAATCAGTCTCTCAACACTTGTCAAAGTAGACAGCTTAATACGTTGTCATTGGTTGAGAATACAAAATGAAAGTAAAAACGATAAAAAAAAATAATAAACACTACTGATAATTTTAAGTAAAAATTTTAGAAATGTATTAAATTTGTTTTCCATGCTGGAAATAAGAATTTTTTTAAACGATTCGACTAAATGGACAATGATTACAGTGAATAAATTTATTATCTTCTGTGTACGGCGCTAAAAATACAAAAGCAGGACAACGAACCGCCAGTTATTTGCATACTTTATCGATTAACTGGCAGTAGCCACTGTTAATGTTGACAAGTTAAATGAATTACGCGATAATTTAAGAATTAATATTTTCTATTTCTTAAACAGGTAAGTGCTGCTAAGAAAGAAAGCCAAACTCCTCCCATTCGTAGCACTGGCGTAGAGGGTGACCGAAGTATCAATGGTAACCAATCTTATCCTGGTGAACCTGGATCTGACCCACAACACAGGGTAAGTAAAATGGAGATTAACTCGTTACGTATGAATTAACCGAACGGAAATTGAATTTCCTGTTTAACAAATTAATTAATAGCACAAAAGCAATTTTAAAAATTGATTTTTATAAAATATATATGTATATATATAAAATATATCTGCTTGCAAAATACATTTTAACCGTTCGTAGAACTAAACTAGTCTTATTCACTGTCAGTTTTTTTTTTGAATTTTATTCACCTATACTCATTACAATTACAAATCGCACTTTAGAGTCGTGCAAATTCATCGTCGACCAGTCTTGGCTTACAGGGCCTCTCTCTCTCTTAACATTACAAAACGGCACCAGCTGCAAAACAATAACTTCTGCTTTTTTTCTTTTTTTTTTTTCCTCTCCTCACTTCCGAAGTAACCATATTCGATTCGCAGGTAATTTTCTATAACATCTTAAACACGACCTGTTCACACCGTTGGATGGTAGCTAGCGTTATGACGTCACAAAATCCGATCATAAGATGACCCTGTCGGGTCAACCATGTTACCCACTTGTAGACCTAAGTTGCCATCTGGGTCGTTTTCTCACGTCCCATGCACCAGATGGTCTACTCCGTGTAGCTTACTTCCCCGTTTAGCCGAAATGGAACGTACCGTTAGTTCGTCTTCTTTCCGCCAGGTGTTCGACGTCGGGGGGAGGGAAAAATTAGATTTTCGGTTACCGATCGCTCACATCTGCTTGAACACTCCGCCCAATCGTTTACGTCCGCGAAACACGGCACCGTTACACAGTGTTTTAGTTTTAGGGAGGAGGAGCTAATCCACCCCAAAAAATCCCATCAAAAGATGCGAAAATGACTCCGTTTTTCGGAAATCGCGGCTCGATATATCCCCGAAAGTCAAATTAGATCCTTTTTAATGAATAAAATTTTGCATTCTTCCCTTCCCTCCCCTCCCCCCATCTCGTTTTCGGTTAAAAAGCTGGAAGGATAATTTTGTTATCAGTGGTTGACACAACACAATTAGTTTTTATTCTCCGGCAGAATCCGATAAGTTTTCCATCCTCCTCCCCCCTCCCAAGATAGGAAATGAGTCTGTAAAGCTTATTATAGTCGACTAGAAGTTTACGTAAGGTTATTGATCATCTATTCCTTAACCATTCGTAAATCTGTGGGTAATTAAGTGCTAAATGAACCACACACATCGCCCAAGCCCAAAATGTCCAGGGAAAACAAATATCGATTTCTTCACTACAGTAGAATTTATGGGTTCTTTGATCCGAATAAAAAAAAAAGAAAGTTTTTGATAAATATGTTAAATCTTGTTTCTTTTAATATTCGAAAATTTTTAAATCTTAAAATAAATGATGTGCTTCGGTGTTGTTTTTTTTTTCTTCTTTTTAAAAGAAAAAGAAAAGATTAAGCGCCATTTAAAAAACAGTCACGTGTATTTTAGTAAGTAAATTTAATTTCTAAATTACATTAGATACATACAAAAATTTATATATATATATATACATTTTAATTATATACAGTAAATTATTTTGGGTTTTGCTTTTTTAATTTTAAAACATCGTTGTGTCACTTTATTAAAATTCTGAATTTGTTTCAAGTTTTGCGCCCGCTCGACTTGGTTCCGTATATATATATATATTTTTCTCCCTCCCTGTCGTTCCGTGTAAAGAAAGGAATTAATTTTTTTTTTCCTGTAAAAAAATTCCAGCAGATAACTATTACGGGATTACTTTCAAAGCTTTGAGTAACAGTTGATTTTTGAAGTAATAACAAGAAGGACTTCAGAGGTGGAGATTGGAGAGCATTCTTCCTGACAGCTTCAACTCTGCCCTGCTTAACAATGGAGAACGCCTCGGGCCTTACTCCGATGACAAACACTTCTCATAACTGCACTTCACTAGAATGAAACTTTGTAACTGCTGAAGAGAAAATAATCGATTGCTAACGAAGTGGAAATCATTACTCTTATTCCGATATCATGCCGGAATTTACGAAGTATTTCCGATATCGTTTAATTTCGTTAACGTTTAAAAATTAACTCTACTATTTTTTTTTTTATTCGTTTTTTTCCGATGTGAAAACGAAAGTAAAACGGTTGGGTTGAAAAACGAAAGTGGTGTCTTTGACTGCACAACTTAGAACACATTTCTTTGTAAATTTTCTGTCCAACAGCTGCTATTGATGGAACAGGTCATGGTCTTTTGTCCAGCATGCCTGGTTGACCGTCTATGCCCAACAACCCAATGGCATGGGTCATACTTGGATCTAACCCTGTACCTGGGTGCGGCCGTAACAATAGTTATACAAAGAATAGTTTTCTAGAACCCAACTGGCTGGTTTCAAATTAAGATAACTTTCTTCATTTGTATCTATTTCTGAGTTTGCTTGTCAAAACTATTGTTGCTTTTATTTTGATTTTTGGAGTAAATATATATGTTTATTTGTCGATTTTATATCTGTTTTTAAGAACATTTTTAAAAATATTTTTTTTTTTTTTTTTTTTTTAAATTGGAAATTAGTAATTCAGCAATTGAAACACGAATATAGTTATGTTATAAATAAAATTATTAATTATATAATAAAATGTATGCTATACATAATATATTTTACACGAAACTACATTCGTATCTACATTATTCTATTAACTTTTTAAAAAGTTTTAAAAACTATTATTTTTATTATGAAAATTATAAAAACAGATTTAAAATATATAATATTTTTTTTAAATAAAATGATTGTATTAATTTAAAAATGGAGTAATTAAATAGATGAATTTTACAAATCCTATTTCTTAAAAACAAGAAAAAAAAATTCATTGTGTTTTTGTTATCTTGAATAACTTAAGTATAAATATAAATATTAATGAATATTGAATATTATATTTCTTTCCGTATAAAATGTATATTTTTATCTTCCATTAAAGTTGAACATCTGAAGCTTCATAATAATTGAAAATAACTGTGATAACAATGTTTTAAAGTATCAGAATGTCTTTTCATCAATATTCTACAGACATTTAAAAATTGATGATGTAAAATTGAATTGTCTTATTTAAGGTTAACGAAGTTGCCTAAATATTGGTATGGATTGTTTATTATATTTTGATTAGATGATGACGACGACGAGTAAGTCACGAGAAATAATTACTAAATAATAATAATAATGAAAAATTTTATTTTTAAGCAGTTTTATTTATTCAAACGTTAGTTTTTCTACAAAGTGAATTTTCTGGTTGCCTCGATGGGGAAAAAAAAAAATTTGAACGCCTTTTCCGCGTTACAAAAATTATACCGATTTTATATACGCACTCGATTTCCTATAATATGATGAAATATTTGTGTAAAAATGCTGAATTTATTATGAAAAATGTTTATTCAGTATCGCATTTATAAATTTTATACTACTAACATTATTTTGCCTGACACAGTACTGAAATTCTTTTGTAATAACTGTTATTTTGCATTATTTAATATATTAATATTATTATTATTATCTGTTTCGTAATCGTAATTTTCATAACGGAGGAGGAGCTAATCCACCCCAAAAAATCCCATCAAAAGATGCGAAAATGACTCCGTTTTTCGGAAATCGCGGCTCGATATATCCCCGAAAGTCAAATTAGATCCTTTTTAATGAATAAAATTTTGCATTCTTCCCTTCCCTCCCCTCCCCCCATCTCGTTTTCGGTTAAAAAGCTGGAAGGATAATTTTGTTATCAGTGGTTGACACAACATTTGTTC